TATTCAGTTTATAGATAAATTGCTAGACAGAAGGTTTATTCTGTATTGTATCATATTTCTTTTTGCCTATTGTCTCTATCCTTTATCATGTTCCATTTGATGAAATACAGCTGATAAGTTCGTTTATGAAGCAATTTGTTACTTTTTAAAAAATTATATGATTTTTTCAAATCTCCACACACACATACAAATGATTGCATAAATATCAACACAATACTTTCATTGTATTTCTTACAATGTTAAAAAGATTAATTCTTGTTCTTATATTTAGAATAGATGCAAAGATTTGATATCTTTTTTCACATATACTTATGTAGATATATTTGTACAGAAATGGAATATTCTAAATACACAGTTAATAACTTTTAAGTATTAAATAGTTTGAATGTCAGATTTGAAAAAGTATATATATTTATATTATAAAGTATATATTCATTTGTTCTTAGGTGAACTGTCTGTAATATTTATTACACATTATACAATTTCTAAATTTCATTATTTACAACTTAAATACCATTGAGATATGTATTAAAGATTTTGTTATTTCACATAATCTACATAATCTGTAAAATATAGAGATATCAGAGCTATACCTATTTCAGACAAAAACAAGAAATCTGTATATGATAAATATATTATAATATTATTTGTCGGTTATGATTAAATGATACAGTTTTGATGATATTTTGTTCTATTTAATTCTTTTTTTAACATTTTACACACACACATACACACACATGGAGTGTTAAAAATTTCTGCAACTGAAAATACAAATGTGAAAGTACAAAATATAATTTATTCCTCTTTTAAGTATTTTTTTAAATTATAATATGATTGTTCATATACATATATACAATTGTTTATATACATATATACTGTATATATATTAGATTAAAATTAATAGATAAAATATCAGTTATATTAAATTAGATTTCTTGTTGAAAAGAAACAGTTTTTTGTCTGATATTTGTCTAATGAAGATTTTTAAATAGTTATGGATGAATCAAATTCATTGCAGGACATCCACAAGTGATAAAAGTAGTGCAAAGTACACCTAACAAAGCATTAAGTGGTATTGTTAGCACAACAAATGCAGGTGGCCTTAAAGTGTTTAAAGCTCCTAATCAGGAATCGCAGGTACTTGCTTTAATTTCATATATCTTATTTATCACAATTGCAGTTATTAATTCAATATATAAAGGTTATATGATGCTAATACTTTTGTGAGAAAGTAATGCTCTATAAATAAATAAATTATATTTTTAAATTACTCATTATGTAGAATATTTCTAATGTTTCTTTTCAATGCACTGGAAAATTAAAGTTTTAATATAAATATTACGTATGCATTGTTCTAATTAGGTTTTATCATCGAATACACAAGTTCTTAGGACTATTAGCTTGCAGAATCCATCTACACCTGGTCAGAGTAAGTATGATTTTTTTTTTTCTAAATAGATCTTTTTTATATAATTATAAGTTTATTAATGTTTTTACCATTTGGAAGTGCCTTTAATTTAATTATGTAATTATAGGACTTGTAACAATACCTTTGCAAAATACTAAAATGGCAACATCAAAGGGTGGGGAATCTATGGTGACCAAGACCATACAGTTAACTTCTGCGCAAATGGTAAATATAATTTTGTAATTTCGTGTAAACAAGTAACAATTCAATGTGGAAATTAAAAATTTTGCAGTAAACATTTTAAAATACAATATTTTATTTTAGAGCGATATAAAACAAGCTATTGCATCACAACAACAACAACAACAACAGCAACAGCAGCAACAATCTAATACTTCGCAACTTGTTAAGGATGCCACTGGAAAAACTTTTATCAGTCCAATATTAGATCATACTGGATCTAGGAAAAGGCAGGATGTAGAAAGTGGCGACTTTGTGCCTGAGTAATGCAATGAGTCTAACACATGTGGGCGCACGTGTACATACACACACACACACACACACACACACACGCGCGCGCGCGCACGTACGCATGCACGCACGCACGCACGCACGCACGCACGCACGCACGCACGCACAGACAGACAGATAGAGGAAAAGGAGAAGAGCAATGACAGATTTAACTTTTTACAATTTTGCTACATGTATACTCTACATCTAATTACTGGTCTATTCCATTACTGATTTATACCTTTTATTTCTTTATATTTCAGTAAGCGAAGAAAAGCAGAAAAAGTTGGGAAAGGATTAAGACATTTCTCAATGAAAGTCTGTGAAAAAGTGAAAAAGAAAGGTACTACTTCCTATAACGAAGTAGCGGATGAATTGGTTGGCGAATTCACTAATCCTGCTCATATAAATTCTTTGACAGATCAGGTATTTATCTCATAATATCCGTATGTTACAATATGATACGAATTTAGACCGATGAGAATAAATCTAATTAAGTGAGAGAGAATCTTATATTCGGTTGAAACTGATCAGACTTTGAATACATATTTCTTGTATGAATTTATATACATATATGATTCTATATACCATGCGCTGAAATCTTTCGGTCTGTCCATGAGAAGAATCAGAATAGTAATATCATTTATTAAACAATTTATTAAGCAATTTAATAATTTTTGATGTTAATATGCATTTTTTACAAGAATATTGTCACATGTTAATAAAAATCTAAAAACTAAATAATTTATAGTAATATAATATTACTTCGGCCAGGGTTCGAACCTGAAATTTTCTGAGATGAATGTCATCAATTCGATTACCGAGGCTTCAGTAATATTTGTTGCAATAATCAATAACTAGAAGAGATAATGTAATGTTTCAAGATGACATATGCTTTACAAACGATTTGATTCGTTAATTATAAGCTTGTTTTGAAATATACTCATTTAACTGTTAATTAAATTTATTTAATTGAATGTTTTTCATTCTTTTTCAGCAATATGATCAGAAAAATATTAGAAGACGCGTATATGACGCTCTAAATGTGTTAATGGCAATGAACATCATTTCCAAAGAGAAAAAGGAAATCAGGTGGCTCGGCCTGCCCACTAATTCATTACAGGAATGTGTAGCATTAGAAAAAGATAAGAAGAAGAAAATTGAGAGAATCAAAGCTAAAACGCAGCAATTGCATCAATTAATTCTCTCTCATATTTCTTTTAAGAACTTGGTTGAACGTAATCGTTTAAACGAAAATCTCCGTGGGCCACCGAAACCTAATTCTGCCATACAGCTGCCATTCCTTATTGTGAATACCAGTAAAAAGACTGTCATAGATTGCAGCATTTCAAATGACAAGTATGTTAAATAGAAACAAATAAAAAAAGATTATAAGATAAGTAAATATTACGTAAGGAAAGGTATTAAACAGATTTTTTTTTGTTACAGAACCGAGTACCTGTTTAATTTTAATGATAAGTTTGAAATTCATGACGATATCGAAGTTCTAAAACAGATGGGTCTAGCTTTCGGTAAAAAATACTGATTTCACTTTCTATGCTATAATTAGTTATTATTTTTTTTATATTTTGCTAAAATATGCTAAACTCTGTGAATCTATAAACTATGACGCGTAAAATATTCTTCTAGGATTAGAAAAAGGGGAATGCACTGAAGAAAATTTGCAAAAGGCAAAATTTATGGTTCCAAAATCACTCGAGAAATATGTAGAACGTATGTTCTCTTTTACATTTCTTTATTATATTAGGCGTAGTAAAAAGAAATTCATTATTTTTGTATGAAATTGAATGAAAAAATAATGGATTTCTTTTTACTACATCTAATATATATATATATATAAAATTATTATATTAAATTTCAATTCGCTCATTTATCAAGATTGATCATTACAGAGTTAGCATCAGGGGATTTAGAGAAGTTTATTCCAGTAACTATTCCCGGCCCAAGTACATCGATGGAGGATTTAGACATTAAATTGGAAGGTTCTCGACCACCGTCGTCGTCACATACTTCATTATCGGAAGATCCTTTGTCGCCACCATCTCAGTACTATTCAGAGGAAGAAGACGAGGAAGAAGAAAGTGACCAGGATGATCAGGCTGACAGCGATCTTGAAGTTAACTAGCACCCCGAATAATTCTTCAAAGGCTAGACTCAGGGTTTGTATGTTTATCTTCCCTCTGTTTTCTCTCCTCCCATTCATTTATAATATATTTTTTACATGTGTATATGTATATATAAAAATGTTGTGCCTTGTATCATATAATATACAATATTTAGCTGTAATAATTATTATTTCAATACATATTAGTAACATATTAATATATTTTAGTAATAAACTTCAGAATATCAGTCCGTAATGTTAACAGAATTTTACTTCTGAATTTTAGGATACTCGCCACTATCATCAGCGATATGCCAACATTAATAATATCGTCGTTGTTGCCAATATCGTCTTCACCCCGGTCGCCAGTTTTTAACATATATCGAACAAGGATAAGAGTTTATAATTATCATGAGTGGAATGTAAATCTTGAAGTTAATGAGAATGGTCAAAATGGAAATATGTTGATTGGGGCCAAGGAGAAAACGTAGCAATTAATTGGACTGATTGAATTGGCAAATCTAAGTGGCTCTTTTTTCGTATCAAGTAATAAAATAGTACGATGCACGCGCATACGAAATGATCAGAATAAACAAATGAATGACTGAATGGGGTGCTATATTTTAGTTGTGCATCATCATACAAGTCTTATGACTCTAGCGCGTCTATGTATTATAAATGATAATCTTATAGTATCATATTATTATGTGTGCGCGCGCGCGCGAGATATATTGACCAGTACTCATTTTCTTATGGCACGTTTATAATAACAATTGTCTGTGGTAAACAGTAAAATGACGTATGATAGATGCAGGCGCACATTTGACTCGAATTAAAAATACAAATAAATTGTAATAATGTTACAATATGAAGTTTGTAGTTTGTGGTTAGTCTTTTGAGAGGAAAGGATATGTATTGAATAACAATACTGTATGTAAGCGTTTGCAGTAATTTTTTACAGCAAACTTAAAAAACGAAAAATTTTTTCATATCTATTATATATACAAACAAGTATAAACATAGGATACATTTAATAGCTGCGTTCAACAGAAAGAACTTTGAAACTGTTACATAATTTTTTTTAATACTTGATTGTTTTTAATATATTGAAAACATGGCATTATTAAGTTAACATTATCTTACACACACACACACACACAAAATTATTGTGTCATATTTTATATTTATTCAAAGTATCAAAAATAATGGTACAATGTGTATCGATTATAACATTACGCTGAAAAAGAAATGATGAGTTACATGCAGCATCAACAAGTATGATAAAAGAAAAACCATAGATTATTTTGCTGATAATTGTAAAATATAAAACGCTATTTTCTGTTGAACGCAACTAACGACATATGATGTCCATTGATTCTGCGGTATCCATATTTTGCACGAATCTATGAAAACAAGGAATTTTCTGCTTCGATGCTAAGTTAACTGCAATCTATACAAAAGCACTGTGTAGTTAAACTTCCTAGAAATGCTGCTTTACTCCAAATCATCATCATCGTAAAGATCATCAAAATCTAAAAAGAAGCAATTTCAATAAATTAACTGTATATTCTGTTAACTTGGATTATTGTTTACACAAAAAAATATGTTCGTAATCTTTTATAAAATATGTAAAAATATTAAAATTAAATACTATTTAATATACCATCGAAATCTTCTAAATACACTACATTTTGAGAAATATTTAGGTTTTTAGGAAAAAAATTGTTGATTTTCTCTAGATTTGGAGGGGCTAAATTTATAATAAATAATTAATATTTAATATACCATTAAAAAATTCTGAATGAACAGCTTTCTCGCTAGCCGTAAGATCCACTAATAGCCTACTACCTCCAACCTGAAATTAATATGTGAGAACATAACGTAATCCAAAGAAATCACAAATATGAATTTTCACAGTAATGTATGTCTACGGATGTGATCCACTTAACGCTGCCAATACTTCGTTAAGATCAGAAGAATTTTACGAATTGACTCAGAATGCTTCAAAACATTTGCAGCGTGAAGTGAATCGTACTATGTCAATACATATATATTCCTAACCTCATCAGAACTGTACATACATAACATTACCTCTTCTAATTCAACGTAAGGTCCAGCTCCTTCGGGAAACATTTCATCAGCCACAAGCGTTGGTTTCATATCGAAATGGATCGATTTACACTTGATTACTTGATATGTGTTTTGATGAGAGAATTTTGAAGCTTTCTAATCGGAAAGCTTCCAAATAATATTAAACATGTGCAGCGCGCGCGCAGTGCGCACCAATTAACTGCGTTGCGATCAACATATGATATTCACGCTCGACTGACGTTATGACATAACGCGATACCGATGCAAGGTAATTTGTCGTATCATCAACAAGATATATATTATTATATAAAATATTAAGAGTAAGAAAAAAATTAGTAATACGATACTGATTTCATGATTTGTTAGTTTCGTAGACATGTACATACATATGTTTAAAATTTAAAATTAAATAATACTCGATTTTTATTTAAAACTGCGATTTTAATATTATCATCCGAGATTTTGATTATGATATCAAGAGATGATAAAAAATTATAGTTTCTGTAGAAAAAAAATTGTAATTTTTGGGCAATTAAGATATTATATAGCATTAATAGTATGCATTATATTTATTCATACAGCATTTATATAATAAAAAAATCATCAATTTAATATGTATTATCGAAATATTTATGTTAAGATTCATAAATTTTTATTAATTGTCGGTGTTTTATTATTAACGTCATTATTCTTCAATTATCTCATTTTGATAATCACGAAAATTTGTCCTGTTGATCTTTAATAGTATTTCATCGGTGGCTATGTACCATTTCCTCCATTTTCTATAAGTTGTAACTGGTTAGAGTTCTTCTAATAAGAGTTAAGACATAAGAGCGGAAAAACACCATTGCCGGGTGCCGGCCGGAAACAGCACAATTCTACTATGGTTGACAGTCTGATTTCGCGTTCGTGCCTTCTACAACATGAAACAGTTGCTCACACCAATTCACAGGTTCGGCAATGTTTAAAAGGACTCGAACTCTGACCAATCATGAGATCGGTGCCCCTCATGATTTGATTCTTATTAGAGGGATTCTATAATTGATGGAAGTAATGCGCCCCCAAGCAGGAGGGGAACAATACAAAGTCTGTGAGATTCTATATTTCTATATGAGTTTACAACTTCCGTTATAACAAAAATAAATGTTTTTTTTTAACTTTTTTTGTAATAACTTTTTTATTATAACTTTTGTAATAACTTTGTAATGAATGACAACTGCCGGCTAACCTGTTGGAGGTTACTCAGGGTCATGACTTTGACAACATATGTCAAGGTCATCGGCGAGGTTTAACTTTTTCATAATAATTACCTCATATTCCTTACTTATTTATTACTATTTATTATCTCTCTAATGTCGTATTTGGACCATAAGGTTATGTAGCGCTTAAAATTACGCTCCACCGCTTATTGAGCGCTACATAACTTTAAAACCCAAATACATACGGCATTAGAGAAATAATAAATAGTAATATAATATAAATAAGTAATTTTAAAGATTATCTATAATAGATAAGTTATTCTATATTATATTACAAGAAATAAACATATTAGATTAGATTAATCCCTTTTTTGCTCAGTAGTTTTCTCTACTGAATGCAGTCAATAAATACACTACTAATGTCACTACTAATATTCAGTAATGTCACTACAGACATCAATAGTATTACTACTGATACGCAATAGTGTCACTGCTCAGCTAAAAGTACTATTGTAGTACAATGACATATGATGTAGCATAGAACTATTTTTAGTAATTGTATTTGGTATAAAAAATTTGGTATAAAAAATTAGAGTAAAATACATATATATCATTAGAGTAATTAGTATAATTTCAACTACACACACACGCACACACACAAATAATATTTTACAATATTATTTAAAAACAAGTTATTATCATAGATACCTTCATTTTGTATATTACAATTATATTTAATATTAATTATTTTTTCTATATATGTCCCTTTCACATCTTTAACTAGATATGTTATTATACATCCATTAGCAGCATATTTAGATATTCATAGTTCTTCGAAGAAGCAGTTCCCGTACGATCGCAGAAGTCGCAAGCATATACAAAGTGGAGTACAGATTCGGATGGATGACTGCATGGAAGCATCACAAGATTATTTCTCGCATTCATAAAGAAAACTTTTTTTATCTATAATTTTGTCGTGTATTCTCTGAAATATGATGCTAATCAATAATACCTTTTCACAATAAAATTAATTTCAGTGAAAGTTTAATGAAATTTTCTTCACTACTATTATGCTATTATATAGATACTACTATGACACTACTTGTTGAATTTATTTCTTGCACTAGTGACACTAGTAGTATATTTTTATTCGAAATCACTTATACGCAACACATATATGCAACCAGGTGCGCGCGCGCGCGCTTACGTATCGCAGAGGATAGGATGGATTAGATTAGATTATTAATTTTTAATTAATTGATTTTTATTGCAATTTTTACAAAAGTACCGAGCTGATCACAGTAGATAAATGAATCGTTGTTTATCGAATGAATATTCCGTATTTATTTTGTATTATATACAAAATATATATACATAACGTTGCGGATTCTCAATGACAGAGTGATTCCCGGATATAACCTGCACGAAAAGAGTTATGTTTAGCAATCAATTTATTAGGCGAACGATTATCCCCATTTTCAGTTCATTAGCCGACGTTCTAGAGGCTGAAAATGATTTATTCGATTCCTTGTATTATTCTGCAGAAAAACATCTATATAGAGGATGTTTGATAAATAATGATAAATCTTTCAGGAGAAATAGTAGAATGACTAAACTGAGAAGAAGTCCTCTACAAGAAAAATCGATTTTACAATTTTCGCAATAGTAAACAAGATATTTATTACTAAAAATTGTCAAAAATTAATTTTCAATAATTTTTTACTCAAATACTATCAACTTTACAGAAAAATGACAAGAGACAAAAAAATTATTTTTTCTTCTCATAGAGCTCTAAAATTTTTTTCAGAATTTTTTATCAACTTTTTAATATACATTTTCTTATTTTTACCAACATGAATACATGAGAAAATACGGTATTAAAAAATTCTGAAAAAATTCTCAAAACTTTATGAGAAGAAAATAAACAATTTTTCTTCTTATTTCTTATAGTTTTTCTGTAAAGTTAATAATATTTGAGTAAAAAATTATTGAAGACCAATTTTCGACAATTTTCAATAATTAATGTCTTATTAACTATTGCAAAATAAGAAGACTTTTCTTCTCAATTTAATCCATTCTGCCCTCATGCGAAAGATTTATCATTACTTATCAAACATTTTATATATTTTATTTTTTTATATGGTCGTTGAATAGTTCTAAACAATTTTTTGTTAAAAAAATCTAAACTTCGAATAAAAATTCCGAAAAAATTCCGTAAGCTTAATTGGATCAAAATGGACATTTTTTGTCTCTCAGACTTTTTTGTTTAAATCAATAAATCTTGAGATAAAAAAATGTCTAAACTTGAAAAACAATTACTACGAAATTTTATCGGAATTTTTATTCAAAGTTCAGATTTTTTTTTTAATTGTTTATAACTATTCAATGATGACATAAAAAAATAAAGTATAGATGTTTTCCGCAGAATAATATGCGGAATCGAATTAAATCATTTTCAGTCATTAGAACGTTGATTAGTCAGTTAGAAAACAACTTTTGGTTAGTAAACATTCTTTTGAGGGTAAACTACTTACCTATATATTGGCTATTGCCATGGATCCGCAATGTGTACACTTCGTATGTATGTCATACCGAGATTCGTTGGGGAAGCTCAACGATTTATGTATGCGAGTGCACCTCAAGCGATCTGCATCTCAATGAATGTTTTCCAACGATATATCACTTACTAGGATCAGCGTCTAGTAGTTGATGGGTCTTTCTTGTTAGACAATTCTTCAATAAATAATAAATCGCATTAGTCGCTCGCGTTTATATAAGGTTATTTTATAAGATTATATTACGTAAGATCATCTTCGATGATCATGCTAGCGGGAAATCACGTCATTCGAGAAATTCACTATGATAGATGGACTGTGATGACTCTTTGCATTTGCTTCGATGCAAATGATGCACAGGCAAGCGAGAAACATCGGGAAAAGACCGGAAGAGGAATTGTGTATGCAGATGGCGTAGATATACGTACTCTTTCCATATCTGCATAAATAAACGGAATGATACTGTGCGAAAGATTATTATTGCGTTAATCTCAGTTTATTAGAGATGATCACAGTATAATTAGTATGAAAGTGGGATGATACGCAGGATATCATGTGCTATTAGGGATAAGATATTTCAAAAAAAGATTCTCTGTGCATCAATTATCTATCTTTAACTTTATTTACTTCAAATATCAAAATCTAGTCTTTAATCGAAGGATTTTTTTGTATTTTTTATTGTGAATTAAAAAAAATGTTCATTTTTTAAATAAAAATCGATATTTTAACTCCGAATAGTTAACAAAGATTAGAACAGCTATAAAACTAGATCAACTCATCTTAATTCTTTTTGTATTTCTGATTTCTAATAAAAAATATCTTACAAACAGCATATTGCTCATTATTACAGCACTGCTCATTACAAAACACTTTTTGAAAAACGGCTTTCCGAATATCTGTTATAATTTTGTTATAAATTAATATTTTTAAGAAAAATACCAATACTTTGTCAAAAAAGACTCTTTACAAAACTATATAAATACCAGCTCTTCAAAAAAAATTCACGAAAATTCGTTTTTTTTTTCGATTTCGATTGGCTATACAGACGTAACCCCTTTAAGGCCGCATGTTTTTCCTTTCAGTGAAATCGTTCGCTTTACCTTGTATATTCTTTTCTAAATTTGTTTTAGTGAAATGTTTCAGTTTAATAAGACAATTGCAATGTGTGTGTAATCTTTCTGGGGCTATTAAGTTGGACTGTTTAGATACCTTAAGATTATATTTTATTAATTAAAATTTGATTAATGACATTTGATTGGCAGTGAAATGATGCTACTATCGCCCATGCAAATCATTTTCATAACAGAGCTGTTACTTTTGACTGAAGGTTCGAAGTTTTGAAAGAATTCGAATTTTCGAAGTTTATGTCTTCAAATTTTATTTCGAAGCTTCGAAAGATACATTTACGCGAATGGCAAATTTATTCAGGAAATGTTAAAAATTGTAAATAGAAATTTGAGTAGAAAGAA